CCCCGTCCTTTCTTCTAATTCTATTCATTTCCTGTCCATCATAAAATCAACATCCACTAAACTAAGCTTACATAAAAATCTCTTTTATGACACCAGGGCCAACTGTAACGACACATTAACTGCCCAGGGGATGAAGTGTTCAAGGCAGAAAATTACCACACACACACACAAAAATTACCAATTTATATATACGAAGATCTATATGGAGTAAACAAATTAACCACATAGTATATAATTAACATACGCATCGCAATATGAACATGTGAAAAGGAGATTATATCAAGACTAAAAGATATTTTATTAAAACTCTCTCAAACGCTCCCCAACCAGAAAAGCCACATTCATTCGAGAACCCTCCTGTGAGCCTCCTGTCAGATGCATTCACCGGCAACCCACAGCACAGAGCACGTCCAGAACGAGTCTGAGGTCAAAACTTTGTCTACAAAGGAAATGAGAAGGAAATCGTAGGAGATAAAACGCAGCTTTAGGTTCTGGCATTTGTCCAGCTTTGTTCATTTTAGCCTAATATTTTAAGAGGTAGGGAAGGGGAAAGGCAAAGGGAGGCAGCTGTTATGTTTATTATCCCACTTGTTGTACACAACGTGCCTCTTCTCCACCATTCCTCCTCACCTCTCATATCATGGGTTTCGAAGTGATGTTCCTGTCCTCAGAGCCCTCGCAAAGTTGAAAGCGACGATTCCAATGAGCACAAAAGACTGAAAAGCACTGTTCCCAGAAAGTGTAATAAAAGTAAACTCAAACATTTTCACTGTATTAATAAAACACACAGCTCTAATAATAAACAGGACTTTTAGGCATCTGGGCAGCGCAAAACACTTCCATGCTAGCACATGGCCACATCCAGGGGAATGTTACTGTACAGATGAGGAAAACAGACACCGTCTCCCTGGAGGTCAGAGTGAGCAGCGTGTAGCAGAGCCAGAATCAGAACGCAGAAAGCCTGCCTCCCCAGCCGACGCTCACGCTGCCTGGCCACGGCATCTCCCTGGTGGCTATCAACCACAAATAATTTCCCCATGACTTTCCTAAACGAGAGCGGCGCATCTCAGAGCAGAAGACAAGGCTCTGTCCATTTTAAGCAAAAGAGCACGCACTATGCAGCAAGTGGTGTATGATCAATGGAACGCAGACCAGCGATGGCAGAATGATCAGGAGTGCAGTGCATTCTTTCTCACCCTTCTCAGTGATGACCCTACGGACCTGGCTCATGTTCACGGCATTTGCTAACCCAGCTTGAATGCTGCCCAGTCCGTCCAAATGCTGACAGTTCGAGAAGCTGTATATTTAGCACGGGACCATGACAGACAGGCATGGAACCCACCCTATGCCAACCAGGTCATAAACACAAATCCCTTACGGGTATTTTTAGCCCACACCTGAAAAAGCTACCCCCCACAGCCACAGATGTAATACACAAGTCAGAACCTGGCAGGAGTTAACTCAGTCATGGTCAAGCCAAAGGTCAGACATCTGCGAAATGGAACCAAGTTCACATTTTTTCCCATCTAGCTACCGTTTCATACGTTGATTATTTCAAGTACAAGAATCAGTGATTTAAATATCACAAATATCTGTGAAACATAAATGTGCTTTTTATAGTAACAAAAACAGACATAAAAATCAGAACCCATTTGCCATTTCAACTTAGAGGATATTTCATTTGGGACTATCTCCACCCTTTTATTCTTTATAAAAGATAAAAAATAAGACTAATACAGACTTTTTCTGTAAGAGGCAAACTTTCACAGTAAAGGACAAGATAGTAAGTATTTTAGGCTTTGGGGAACCACATAGTCCCTGTGATAACTACTCAATTCTGCCATTATGGCATAAAAGCGGCCACAGACAACACATTAAATGAACAGGCACGGCTGTGTCCCAATAAAACTTTATTTAGAAAAACAGTGGGCCAGATTTGAATCATAGGCCACGCTTTGCCAAATCTTAATCTAGTATTTATTTTCTTCCTTTCTTATATTATCTTCGGCTCACTACAACGGACCATTAAGAAAATGATGATATGCGAAATCGCAAGCAAACAATGAAAATTTAAAAGAACAAGGTTCTAAAGAACGCCATCACAGTACAGAACCCCTTCTCCTGAACTAACCAGTGCACAGAGAAGGTCGACAGCCTCCAACACGAGTTCCTGGTGTCCAATTCGTGTGACACCGAGCTCCTCGAGGTCCTGATGGGAAATCTGTAGCAGCTGCTCTCCATTTATTTTCTCCCGTTCAAACTTGTGGACGTACTGCTGCAGGCAATCATCCAGCCCTACCAAAAAAGCAAAGGAGGCCATTATTGTCATTCTGTTTCTTGACTCAAAAAACAGCCCACATTTAAGTCAATCTAAGACATCGTCACTTATGCTCCATTATTTGAATGTCTGTATAATGTGTATGCCACCTGATGGACACCTTCCCAATGTATCCTCAAACAGATTTTAAATGCGCAGCTTAAAATTTCTACAAGGATCCAGCAGAGAGTTTGGGGAGTTACCTTCTCATTTCCATTCAACTAAAAGAATACACTAAACCCCTCTTGATTTGAAATGCTAGTTATCTGTACTAGACATATGTTTGGCGGTTTGCTAAGCAACTTTTCCTTTGGGACACCACCCCTCTCCCAGCCCACGTGATCCCAGGGGGCCTGCCAATCAAGATGCTCTGTCACAGTGGTTGGCCACAATATTTTATCTACCAGCCAGTATTAGGTTCCAGGATGACCATGTGACTCAAGCAGAACCAATTAAAATCTTCTTGATATTTGATTTATGGACACAGAAAGACAGAGGCTCTTCCTTTCCAACTAGAAGTCATAAGGACACAATTTGGGGGATGCTCGTTTTTCTGATCAGTTTTCTGGAAATAAATCCACTTGAGAGAGAGAAAAAAAATGCCCCAACAATATCATACCTGTCTGTCCCTGCAAATGAAAAACTTCTGATGAATACGGAATCCAAAGGAGAAGGTACCAGCATCGGTACCAGAGAAAAGCAATGTTAAATGAGTCAGCTTACAGGAATTTTCCAGCCCAAATACTACTGCCAATAGTGTTGTATTTTGATGTTCTTATAAAATGATTAAAATAGGATGGCCAAATAGAACTTGGAAATCTTTATCTCTATATAGAGAACTCTCCGGTCAACTTGTTTCAATGGTTTTGCTGGAATAAAATTTTATCTGAATCAGCTAGAGTATTAAAGCCTAATAATAAACTAATAGATTTATATGAATTCAATTTCAACACAAAGGATGTAAACTCAATTTAACTAAAACAACATGTATGGAAGGCATAATGCTATCTCCTCCCCACTCACACACACACACACACACACACACACACACACACACACACGTATTTCATTTACCTCTCACAAAAACTCTGCTATGTGGGTACTCTCTGGACTAGGAAAAGTAGACACAGGTCTCGTGCTTACTCCTGGCAATACTAAAGCCTACAGATCTTAAAGTCTGATGTGTTAGGCTAAATAATATTTCTACCCCCACAAACTTTCCCCATTCGCCTCCTGGTAAGATATAGGAAGAGAAGCAATTTCCTGATAAATATTCGAGACTATCAACTATAGGAAGAGGAGGTAAGAAATAATTTTATGGTAACCAGATGAATTGGAAACAATCCTTCTTCCCTGAAGTGACATCTGTCTAGCAGAAGGGCTCTGTCACACAGCAAGTGAGGTCGAGGACATTAATATAAACCCAGCTCCACTTTGACTGCCTTGAGCCACAAGTGGCTTCTGTGGCCTATGAGTCAAGAGGGCAGTGGAGGCCATACAAATCAGCGGATATTGACAACAACGCCCCACCTGGGCTGGGGTGACCAGAGGCTGGGTCTGAGCACCCGGAGCCAACCTGGGCGTCTACAGAAGGGCAGTATCCATATGCAGCAGATAACAGTGACAATGGCCAAGGGCTAAGGAGAGTCTCCAAACATTTCTATTGCCACTTCACAGATGACTAAATTAGGACTCCATAACCTTTCTACAGTCACGGAGCTTGTAAGATGCCAAGAGAAGGATTTTTATAGCTCTTTTCTTCAGCTTGATATGGAAGAAGAGACTGAATTCAAATCAAGGTCTGTTTGACACAAGCCCAGCTGTTTTGCATTCTACCTGGCAAACACAGGATCATAAAAATTCCTCTCCAAGCATCCCCCTAAGTAAGCAGTAAGGTCTAATTACAAAAATTATTAAAACAGAATCGTGGAATCTTAGAGGTAATTAGAAGACACTTCAGTTCTCACTGAGTTCAAAAAATTGAGAACGTATGGACAGAAGGTTAATTACTGTGACTTGTATCCTAAATCGCTTAGCCAGTTCTAAGCCAAATCAAAAACAATTGTCCTACGCTCTCCCGCCTTCACGGTGTTCTCTCCCCTTGCCTACTTTTAAACCAATAGGACTGGTGTGCTTTTAGGAAGAGGAGACACACAGAGGGAAGACCAGGTTAAGACAGAGGGAGAAGACGGCCGTCACCAGCCAAGGAGGGCAGCCTGGGAAGACACTGGCCCTGCCGACACTATGACCCCAGACTTCTGGCCTCCAGAACTGCAAGAAAATTGATTTCTGTTGTTTCAGCCACCCAGTCTGTGGGACTTTGTTATGACAGCCCTGGAAAACCAACGTCAACCTAATAACCTTTTATTTCGTATTCATTCACATGTGAGAAACTCTTTCCTAAACAAAATAAATGAGGCCCAGTGACCAACTGAACTGAAATGCGTGTTCGCTGTGCCAACCAAGTTCATTGCTCAAAATACAAACATAAAACGGAGAGACTCGTATCAGCTTGCATGTGCAGTTAAAAGTAAAGTGAAGAAATCATGCACAATGGATGTTCGTTAAACTTCATCTCTGAATATTGAGTAGAAATAAAGATAAGGTTAGATTTCTCTTTTAACCAACGATGGAAAGTTTCACTGAAAAACACAGAATTTCAGAAGTAGCTTTGGAGCATTGGGGAACGATTTTAGACACAGAGAACAAGGTTGAGATGGGAGGTATGGAGGAGATTCCAGATAGGACAAGGGTGCAAACGATCAGAGATTGAAAACAAGAATACAGACCATTTCCTGAAAAACAGGCCAGAATATCCTTGAGGAGTCTAAGGGAATATAAATGGTCTAATCTCGGATAATCAAAAGATTCCTGAGATGTAGGAGAATTATCAAGCAAAAACATGCTGTTGCTACCTCCCTACAAACAGAATACAGAGCAGCTTTGCAAAGACCTTGCCCTCAAGGGACTGGTATATTGAATATGCTAAGTTTTAAATAGTATTGTTTCCAGTTTTATTATTCTAATACATGATGGCCTATTGTTCAGTTATCCCATTGTTCAGAATACAATTAAACATTTATAAACAGCTGAATCAAATTATTAAGCAGTCCCACAATAAAAAGGGGAAATCCTCCATTTCAAGTAAACTGGTTTTAGAGTTTGCAATAAACCAAACAGTTTTTATCTATTTGTCAAATGTGCCTAATTGCCAGTTCTTGGCTTCGAAGGAAACTTACAGAAAGTCTAGCAGGATGGAGGCATAATTAAACAAAATTAGGTTAAACACATTCCATTTATACAAATTAAGTTACACACATAATTCAATGTGGAAAGACTTGGAAAGGAACACGCAAGGGTCAGAATGAGGGTCAGAGGAAGA